TTTTTTAGCCTCATTCAATCTTCAGGCCGACCTCAGTACCTTGAACCAGTAATAATCACGACCTTTCCAGACATGCAAGGGAGGTCTTTGAGGGGATTGAACGTGTCCGACGGAGCAGCGTGGCCTATCATAGTATCAGTTAAAGGTGAACGTACAAGTGGCCTATTTGCAGTACGTAAATGTGGGAAATGAGTGGCCCAAACGGAAGAATTCAATGCCAGTCCTGCTCGGGTCCTGCTTGACGTTATGGGCGACTGTGACGCGCCATCACTTCAGAATTCTGAATCTCGTTAGTCATGCCGAACGACTCCCGACATCCCGACGCCTTGCGTCGCAAGCTTGCATTTTACTCGCTGCTGCAGGCTAGCACTTCAATACATACCCTTGAAATCTCAGGCTGAATATCCTTTCGAATGGGGAGGTTATCGGGAGGTTCCAGCAACTCAGCAATCGTTTTTGTTTTTTTTGAACGATTCACCTTACTGGTGGGTAGTCGGTGGGCTCAAGTAAAATGAGTGTGTCCAAGCGGTAACCACATTGGCTTTGTACGTTAATCATCAATCATTTGATGATAAGCCACCGATCCAGCAAGTCCCACGAACTTGAGGAATGACATCGAGCTGTTGCTTATAGATTTTAACAGAGGGAAACTATCTAGCATTATGCCCATTTGATGGCCGAAGAGATGAAAGTCCCACAGGTGGATGTGAACAAGATGAGGCAACGATTCTGGAATTTGTAATCTTAACTACATAGTGTTTTTGCATCCAATCAACGACACTTTGGGACGCAACTTGGCATTATCATAATTGAAGGAATGCCATTACTTATTAATTTGCCAATTTCCAGCTGAGATTAGACTAAAGTTATCATCGGGTGCTGAAAGAATCGTTAGTCAATAGTATGCGATGTACAGCTTTGACATGCCTTTCTTGGACGTTCACCATTCATCCGCTTCAAAATTCTCGAGAATGCTCAGTGAGTATTTCGACAAGAGCTCTACTCGCACCGATATCAATTGATAGCAGGGAACATGCATAGTCGAAAATGCGTCGAAGGAATAGATCAAATACATAAAAATCACAGGAGACAAAAACCGAACCCACCCTTTTGAATCGAATCATCATCCACGAATTCTAACCCAAACCCAGCCTCACAGACGCGAGAGCTCCTTAAAAACTATCATACTACGTGGTTCGCGATCTTGCGGCCGTCTGAATTAACCTGGCAACAGCTGATGATACATGGAAAGTTAAATCTCACCTTAGCGATTCGGACGTCAGATCTATTCGTTGCTGTGACCTCAAGGAGTGGTAGAAACGGAACATAGGCGCTTGGGGCCTAGAAAAAGAACGTAGGAAAGACCATCTATGATGAAACCGGGAGTGGGGCACTTATTTGGTCGCGGTATTATCCTGCGCTCTATCTGTGTTCAAGTTCAGTTGTGGGATCCGAAATTCTAACAAGGCTGGTATTAACACCAAGTACAATGCTCTAGTTTGAATCGGAGATTCACAATAGCGGCGTTGTTTACTACCGGTTAGCGATGAGCTCTAAGCATATAAGGAATTAATTAAATGGACAAACTTACTAGGTCATCTAATCGATTTCCTCGAAGTTAACAGAAACCGCTTGGCCGATGATTTAGAAAAACGGGGATCTGAGTAGTCGAGCCAGATCGACCTGGTTCACGGCCTTCCCGCTCGACTATTTTGAGGGCTTCTCTTTTCCTGTCTTCGTCAGGAGTTTACATCCAAATCCGAGAAGCGTTATACTCAATGAAACAACTGACCTTGGCTTATAGATGCTGCAAACTAGCCAGGCCACTTCCGCTACTGTATCGTTCTTTAACCTCATCCAACAGAATAAAATTTAATGTACCTTGAACCCGTAACACTTACGACCTTTCCAGGCATGTTAGGCAGGTCTTTTAAGGGGATTAAACGCGTCAGATAAGGTAGCGTGTGGCCTCTCATAGTGGCGTTCAACTTCAAGGCAAGTAATATGAATCCACCGGTGGCCCATCTTTCGCAGTTAAGGAAAATATGCGTGATTCCCATATGCATATTGGTTTTGTGGGCATCTCCATCATTGACAGGTTGTGTTCGGTATTAGAAGTTACAGTATCTGATCATCATCACTTAAACCGCAAACTTCGGATGGGCTGAAATTCAGCATAGATGAGCCTGCTTCAGTGAGGACTTTGACGTTCAACGATCCAGCAAGTGACGAAGATGATACTTACAGTACTTTGTCAACTTGACAAGTTACCGAAGACAATGTTAGATGGGTCGTTACGGACCGTGGCACTTCCTCCTGTTTTCGCATCACACATCAATCCACATCTATCCGCCATCTATCATATGAACGAACGCTCTTACCCTTTAAGAGCTATGGCGAATGTAATATTGCACTGCCCACTCTCTTTGGAACTGGACCCTGGTGTTCCTTTATAGGTTTTCAATTTTTCGTTCCTTCTTCAAGTTCTTTCGCTTCCCTTTCCTCCGAAACCATTCATTTCTTTCGTTCATTGCTTTCACTCCTTGAACCGTCCCAAATGACCTCACCCACAACTGGCAGTGCTATGCCTACCGGCTCTACGGCGGCGCCGGCGCTCCCTTCTTTCAACAATACTCTCGGAGCACTCTTTATTGGCTCTGCCGTCTCCACAGCGTCAGTCTGCCTGATCGTATTGCTTCAGTCATGGAATATTCTCTTATGCTTTTCTATCCGTAGGCTCTATGGCGTCGTCTGCATGCAAACATTCGTATACTTCACTTCGCGACGTGCAAAGGTTGATAATTGGTTTTTGAGGGGTCTTGTTTCGTTGGTATTGTGAGTGATATAGTGACTTTATCATCGCGTTACTGCATTCATTGAACATATCTATTGCTAGCGTATGTTGCATCGTTATACTTCTTCTAATGTCTATGGTGAATAATCATCGTGCATAGGTACTGGACACCGTGCATACAGTCTTCTATCTGGCGGCATTGTATAAATATCTCATTACGGACTTCGTTAACCCACTTGCACTTCTCGCTGGAGGTCCGACCAGTGGTTCAAAGTATGTTTGTTAGCCCTCACAGTGTGTCAGAATATGTAGCTAACGTTCGGCTTTCTTTGGCGTCAAGGCTGATTCTTCTGGTAAGTTTTTCATAGTAAACCTAATTTTGAAGATGACTCTGAGATATCATGTCCAGGACGAAGTTTTATTTGCGGTATATCATATGTCAACGTTCCTATCTGATTCTCATGCACGACTGACTTCTTTCTTTCATAGATTGCTGTAATCCTTCTGATACAGATGTTAGTGGCGCATCTCGATTCTTCCTAGAAACGCATTTATTTGGAATCGTAGGTTCTTCTGTCGTCGCCTGTGGGTCATTAGCGCTACAGCGTTCAACGTACCCGTTCGAGTTGCTTTGGTTGCTCTTGCTGTGAGTAAATCATCAATCGTTTTCATTTTTAGAAATTGATTTCGATGCTATTATCTGCAGGGAGCGCTGTCTCTTCTTAGCTGCGGCAAGTATCATAATCTATCTCCTTTGCCCGTTCGTTTGTATACAGTACTGACCTATTTTTCATTTCTACTAATACTACACAGGCGCATGGAGTGGTCGGTCCATTTCATTTCCTAATACATACATTTTTTCTTAACTGCTATCGCCCTGTAGCTGTCTCGATTGTGGGTTACAATCAGCACTCAACAATCATGACAGATCCCAGCGCGAATTTTGAGGTACGTTCCACTGCTACCGGTGGTTTTATGCGGGTTTCATGGTATGTATGTATATATTCACGTTGCTTTCATTATCAAGCTCTCATTAAAAATTTCAACTGCGAGCGGGATAGTGTTTGATGCTATTGTTACTACTGCTCTTGGTGAGTACTTGTACGAGGACCGAGGACTCTTGCCTTCCCTTAGTGTTGGGTTCATCTGACTGACCTTGCTATGATGTGTAGCGACAAGTCTGTATCGCGCCAAGTCAGGAATTAGAAAGTAAGCTCGTTGGTTGATTCATCTCGTCAACCGTGATGATACTAACTTGTATTTTTTTTTCTCTTGAAAGGTCCAATCATGTCATCAACATGATCATTGCATGGACTGTGAATACGAATTTGATCACAACGTCAGTGGATGTTTTGAGTCGAGTTCGGTACAGTGTACTTACTGACTAGTTTTTTTTTTCGTCGTGACGTCGTCTTGCATACACATACAGGCTGTTATCCCTTGCCCAGTTGATTACAGTGAGTTCTACGCTGTCGCTCCAGTGCGCTCATTGACGCGATCTTTTGTACCTTGCAGTTTTTGGCGTTTCCACATACGACCATCTACGGTGGAATCGTGCTGGTTCTACCTAAATCGTATATCAACTCTTTCCTTGCAACGTCAGTACCCCCATCAGCTCGAATCGGCATTGAGATACTTGACTGATGCTTGCCTAACAGGTTAAACTCCCGAGAATTTTTCCAAAGAAAGTTGAAGGAAGATACTAATAGCGGTGCAGGTAGTGCGCAGAAAGCTCGAGAACATATGATTCAGTTTGACAAAAACGCAGACTCGGTAAATGACTTCTGAATCTCACTGTGAGGACTATGTCTTACCTTATCGCTCTCTAGATGAACACTGGCACCTATGTAACGGTGACCACCGAGTCCAGTACTTTGACTGTTTGATGGAAAGTATGTAGGGTTGCTTTGAAACCCAAAAGTCATGGTCTCACAGACCTGGAAATATGAGAAGGGATATTTATCTTTGTGGTGTATTTTTTTGTATTTATAGGAAAGGTTGAACCTCTCCGCCCACTGTTTTTTTTGAGCGACTCGGAGCCTCACATAATACCCGATATACCAAAGTCCTCAGATCCAGAGCAAAGAACAAAGGCGACGTACTTATTTTTCTGTACAGAGGTCTCTGAATCATATACCCATCAGTTACCTATGAAATGAATTACAGATGTGTCAGATATCAATTTCAGAAGGGACAACGTTAGCAAGCATTAATGGGGTAGTGGTAACCTGGGTCGTTGCCATAGCGCTATTGTCTTTGTGCTTTCGACCCGCCGGGGGTTCGATTCCCTCTTAATGCATTAGTCTCTGTGGTTCCTGGTACATAGTCACTGTTTTTTTTTTTTTTGTTTTTTTGAAAAAAAACTCATTCTTTTTCTCGTAAAGCTTTCTGCTCACGAATTGCAATGTGAAGGCAAGGTAAACTGATTTGAGTCATTAAAGTTGCAGTAAGGATTTTAGACGGCAGACAGTGATTGTTTTTCTTTGGCAATGGAGACTTTGGCCGTTCAGTGGCCGAATTGGAATTGAATAGCAGTAGAGCCAAAATCCATACATACACATCCCTTGTCCTTGTATTTTTTTCCTAAATATTACTTCATCGCTGCTGGGAGCGCTTAAAGTTTTTGATGAAACTCTCGATCACATGATGCCGCGACATTGTGCTTTTCTCACGATACCTTTGTTTATCGACAACCAACTTGAATCCCGGCGCTCCTCACAACGACCAAGACGCCGAATGGCGGCGCACAGATCTTCCTCGACGCAGTTGCGTAACAAACTGCTGTCGAATTCTCCAGATCCAATGAAATCCTCTATTCTTCGAGAGTCGAACATGGGCTGGAGCTCACCTCCAACTTCTTCGGATAACACTGCTGCTACCTCTCCACTTCGAATTTCTAAACGGGAATCATCGCCAACTCTTCGGCCGACGCAGGCCGACCTCGCTAGGAGGTCGTCTTCGAGCTACAGAGCCATGAGAAATAACAATCTCGTATCGAAATCGCCGTTTAAATCTCAAATTCCCACCTCTTCGACCCCTTCTCGTCAGCCACCTCTTGCTTCGTTCCCAACTCGTCGTGTGTCCGGTGAAAAGCGGCCGAGACCGCCGTCTATGCACGACGAGGCAGAAAACGAGAACGACAGACCTTTATCCCTCAAAAGAGACCGGAAACAGTCAAAAGCGTACCAGGTTATTATTGAAAAGGAACCTGTCACAAAGAGTCCTTTCCGTCAGCCTCCTGCCTCCAGAAAGTTCTCGCCTCCACCTCCACCTCCGCCTTCTCGTACACTCACCAACGGCTCTCCCACCCGCCCTGCTCTTGTCACCAAAAGAATGCACGGCCCTAGGCTTAGCGGGGCTAGGCGAGAGCGTCGTAAAACTGTGACGTTTGACCCGAACTGTGACGTCCTTGAATTTCCCAGAGATCCGGATACCAGCGGTGAAGTGGTTGAAAGTGGCGATGAGGATGACTATGGTAATGACGAAGATGAGGATTCGGACCAAGAAGACTCAGACCAAGAGGCTGGTGAGCCCATGGAGCTCGATGCAGATACCAGTATCTCTGGACTGGTCGACGAAATGTTCGCTGGCTCTCGTCAGACGAGTACTCCTCCACGACAGCATTCCAACCAACTCCCTGCCGACCTCGAAACCGAGGACGGCGTGCCTCTTGGTCGCTCTCATCACGCAGAGCGTGCTATGAAACATCACGAAAACCACACTCTTGTCGAACCTCCCATCTCACATACACCCCCTTTCCCTATTCACGCTACAGCCACTTCTCCACCGCCCTCAACTCCTACTTACCGGAATCAAGTTTCCTCGCCGCCTCTAGGCCGCTCAACACACCCCGAACGTGTGCAGCTGGCTCGGATGGAGGAGGAAGAGATTGACAGGGACGTGAAGATGCTTCCAGAATCACCTTCGCCCGTCAAATCTAGGACTAGAAGCCATACTGAGGATGAAGGTTTGGACGGTTTGATTCCCAAGTTTGAGCTTCCTGGTCGTAAGTCAACTCGCTCGCTGCTTTGTTCTTTACTTATCCTTTTACAGACACCCCAATCAAAAACAACCACAGCACGGGTTCTGACCCTTTTGCTTTGCCCAGCTTGAAAGACGAACCTTTCCCTCAAGACGCAGGGAGTCTCGCTCAGGACGAGTCATTGATATCTACGGCTACAACCGAACATTCCGAGGTCAATATCAGTGCCTTGGAGCAAGAGCTTGGAAACGATGTAAGTACTCGAACGAACATCACTTTAGAATTTAATCTCACTAATCCCAACCTCGTAGCGGTTAATGAACACGTCCTTGGAAGCCTCACCCATCACCCATGAAGCTTCTTTCACGCGATCCAACAGCCCAGCTCGTCGTTCTCCTCTGCCTCCTATTCCCAGCTCAGTCCCACATCGAATCTCCTCTCCCGTTATGCGTTCTCCTTCTCCTCTATCCCCTCGCGGAAGCCCTACTGCATTCTCAAGCCCTAATGGTGTCCGACCGCGAATCAACCGCGACGACGTGCAGAGACGGCTTTTCCGTCCACGAAGCTTTGGGAGTGCCAGTCCAAGTGGCAGTCCCAAGGCTAACGGCGATACGGGACCTGTGCCGCGTCCAAGTGCTGACAGACAACGGATTGTCGATCTGAGCCTTGACCACAACCTAGACCGTGACCGCGAGCACGATATCAACGTGGACCTGCTTGGTTCCGAGATCAAGTTTGAGCGCGAGGTGGACAAGGACGCTGCGTCTGTCTTGACCACTATGACAGACAATTCGGCTGAGCTGGCTACGATTGAGACTGCGGAGAAGAGGAAGGTCGTTGCTGTTGGCGTTGTGCAGCAGCATGAGCCTGTGGAGACGGAGGCGAGTATGGAGGTTACGCATGATATTACGATGGATATGGAGGGCGAGGAAGGGGAGAAGAGTTTGGAGCTGGAGGAGGAGCCGGAAGAGGAGGAAGTGGAAGAGGCGGAACCCGAGCATGAATATGAACCCGAACCCCAACGCGAAGATCCACTCGAGCCCATCGAGGTGATCCAAGCGACCCAACTACACGATCAGAGCTACAGCGGTGACGAGGTCGATTCTGGTATCGACGACGACGACGAGGAGGAGTTTGGACTGTTGAAAGCCCCCGAACCCGCTCTTACCAACAACAACAAGAAGCTCAAATTCGACTTTGGGAGTAAATTTGGGTTGGGAAAGCTGGGTTTTACTGGGATGGGACTGTCGAGTGAGGACCTTACTGAATCTGTCCTTGGTTCTGGCTCTGGCTCTGGTTTACAACGCGGAGACGACCACGACCTCCGCGCAGCCAACTCAGAAAATGCCAGTCGGTTCCGTCAACGTGCGTATGGACATGCGTAGTGCCCTCGACAGGCTTATGGACGATGTTGCGCATGTGGGAGGAAGCGGTGTGGAGGAACCTCGAGACGTTTTCATGGATTACACTGAGGAAGGGGAAGATCCTAGTGAACCTTCTCGAGGTGGTCAATCAATGCAACGCGCTGCGACTGATTCCGGTATCGTAGGGAGTCTGGGATACCCTCATGCTTCCGGCATGACTAGCCGTAGTGCCAGTGGCTTCGTCGTCTATGGCTCCTCCGGTTCCTCCCAAGGATAACATCCGTACGCGAGAGGCGATGATCATTGAAAGGAGAAGAAAGATGCGGAGGATTGAGGATGGGATATTCGATGACGATGATGATGAGGAGGGAGGTTTCGTAGCTGCACCTGCGCAGCTGAATGTTCCTGTTGGTCGACCTAGTAGGAGGAGAAGTATGAGTACCGGTGACGCGGAAGATTTGAGCGGGGGTGCGAAGAAGAGGGGAGCTGCGCTGCGGGGACAGGATTCAAAGTTGTCGCTTCGATGATGTGTCTCCCACTGGTTCTGATGATCCGTTGAGTGATACGATTGAGAAGGAGTCTGAGGAAGAATAGTGAGGCGCCTGAGAAGAAGGTTGGTTTTTCGCAATGCATTATCTCGCGAGTGTTGACTGTTTTCTACAGAAGAAATACTTTATCCGGGAACATCAAGGGACTATATACGCTTCTTCGGATGTGTCTCATATGGCTGGTCCTGGAGACGTCAATACAGGAAAGGCCTGGCGGACTGTACGGAGACCCTCAGACATGGTATGTCGTCTTCGGTTTAAAGGTTCTATTATACCCCATGGTTAAGTCAATTGTTTCATAGAACGAGTACTCCAAACAGATCAAAGAATTCAGAGCGCAAGAGAAGCCTGGCAAGGCGTACGGCAAGGTGTTCGTGAAAGGTACGTTAATCTACCAAATTCGTTCGAGTTGAGTACTAACTCGGTGTTTATAGTGCTTGGCGTCAAAGGCTTAGTGGTGCCCCTGCCCGAAAGGCAGACAGCCGTCTCGTGTACTCTCAATAACGGGATACACTTCGTCACTACTCCTGATTTCCGTTTAGGCAAGGATTGTAGGATCGAGCAAGAGTTTGAGCTGTGAGTAGTCCAAGTATCATCCATCGGTATAGCATGGGCTCATCGGGTCTTTTTTTCTTTCTGCAGGGTTGAACACAGCAAGCTCGAGTTCACACTCACACTCAAAGTTCGTCGAGATCCGCACATCATCGCCCAGTTCAAGGCTGTCGTTCCTCCTGCGCCTCAACCACCTCCTGTGATGGTTTCAAACCCCTCGTCATCGTCATCGAAAAGCAGCGGCGGAATGCGAAGTTTCTTCCATTCATCTCCCAAGAAGAACAAGGACAAGGACAAGCGTCTTAATACCCCTCCTATTCCAGCGCCTGCTCCTCCACGACTACCCCCTCCCCGTCTTACCGAGAACCTTGCACGGTATCTCAAACCCGATGGTACGCTCGCGCGGGCCTTCATCTCATTCAAGGATATCGTCGGGCGTTGCGATACACGTCTCTTTGAGACGACGTTCCCGTTGATTGGACAGAGGGCTGAGCTAGGGAATAAGACTTCCACGGTGCAGGTCGGGGAGCTAGTGTTGCAGATGTTTAGGCTTCCGCCGTTGCCTGGCCTTCCTCCACAAGAGCTTCCGCAGAGTCTGGAAGAATGCCATCGGGGATTGAGGCATGTCAACTGGCACAAGATGACATATTTCGAAGGGACGCTGACGCAGAATGGAGGAGATTGTAGTGTGAGTTGAGATTATTTCTTCGTATTTTCTCACTAATTAAGTGCATGTTTCTAGTCTTGGCGTCGTCGTCAATTGCGTGTCATTGGGTCTAATCTCGTCGCGTTCAACGATGTAACAAAGCGAGTGACGGCTACGATCAGCCTCCGAAACGCCATCGCTGTAGAG